GCCAGATTAGGTCACTATGCGCACTTCGGGCATCTCCGCCTCGCGGCCGAGAAAGGGAATCCAGCGAGCGAGCGAATTTCTGAGCCCGGCCCGGCCCCGGCCAGCACAGCTGGTACCACACTGTTCCGTGTGGAGAAGTGCACCAAATCGAGAGGAGAGGCGAGGAGCAAAAGCAGGAACATTCCTTGGCCAGCCGAGACCCTTGCCACTTTGCACACGAAAAAGCGCAGGCGCCCGGATGGATGTATGAAGCCAAAGCGCGCGATGCAAAGTGGACGCCCGGGCGCAACAGCTCCGTGAGTCGTTGGTCCACGCAGCAACAGCCACAGCGGACCCGGGGCGACCCAATTAGCTGCTGCGCCACATTTAGATCGGATGTGGGTCGCTCGCTCTCTTTTCGCACCCCCTGTCAGGCAGCTCCACACTTCAGCGCCACCTGTATCCTGAGCTGGATCTGCCAGCCCAATCAGCACAATTGGAGCCCGGTGGCACACAACACTACAAAGTACGCACAATTCGCGGCTCAGAACTTATCCTGCCTGCCTGACTGCGGCGGCTTAATCCAGCCCACTGGGTCGGGTACGGATTGCTCCCTTTTTGACGAAAGAGTGTGGTTTCCTCGGACCATCTGCCCCGTCGGCCCCAGGACCGCCGCATCTTGACTCCCTGCTCTACAGGTTTCGTTATCCGCACTGGATATTCAGAAAGTGGCCCAGCAGCGAATGACTGTCGCGAAGTCCTGCCCCGCGCTCCGCGACGTCGCGGCCGGCCCACCCCCGCAGGTCGCAGAGTCGACGGACGACCACAGGACCCGGATGTGGTGTCGCCCTAGTACACTGCGTAGTACAGGGCAGTACAGAGGTTTCACCGTGCCAGAGGGCCGGGAATTGCGCAGTGCGGGATAGGGTGAGATCGAATGTCTTGTACGCGCGGACCGAAAACACGTTTTTTCGCCAAAGAATCGAGGCCGAAAATTGGCTAGTCCTAGATGGGGCTGTACAACCGCACGATTTAATGTTGACGTGAAGGCTCAACGTCTTGGACCGCCAATCGAACAAACGGTCAGGACAGGGTAGTTCCATCCGTTGTGACATGGTACTACGTTCGTGACCTTGTCTGCACCCGCACCCGAATTCCAGCAGGATTGCGTTTTTAGCGCTGGAGATGGAGCTGAACCAATGGCGAGCGCTCGGTCACTCCATCCGGCGTTCCCGACGAGTCATGAAGCCGGGGGCTTGAGCGTCGGTGGCCAAGCCGTCTGCCCACTGTAGTGCCGTGGTGAGCATACGTTTACGTCCCGGCGCCTGCGTGCGTCGGACAGGAGATAAGCAGAGAGGTGGGGCGAAAACAGAGGCCGAACGGACAAGGCAGGGGCAGGGGCAGGGCAGGGGAGGCGAGGGGTTGGGCGGGGCGGGCAGGGGCAGAGAACATAATGGAATCAGATGACCGACCCACCTACCCTGCCTCCGTTATTTGTGAATCTTTGAATGAGCATGACAGAGTCCATTTCAGAAGCTACTGGCACTTGGATTTGGATTTGGATTTGGGACTTGGGATTTGGTGTCCGAGTTAACATGGCATAATCTATCTCTCTCTCTCTACGGTATCTATGGGGTCTCGTCTAACAACGCTTTTGCTTTAAAAGTAGCGTAACAGCTTATGTTCCTGGTAATCGCGATTGCCAGCCAGCCGGCCGGCCGAGGCCGAGCAAGTTGTGAGCCTTGTATGAGGGGAGTAGTTGGGTTGTTGCCTGGGACCATGATACTACCTTTCATCATGCACGAAACGCAGATTCTTTTGTCTCTCTCTCTCTCCCTCAGTGTGGTCGCTACTTTGGCAAAACATATTGATCGAAATACCGGACTTGGACATTTATCATGAAAATATAAGTGCAGGTCATAATGAAAGCATAGCCTCCGTGTCGGGCCGCTGATTTTCATTGTAGGAATATTGTTCCGAAAGGGAAAGGCAAATAAACTGTAAAATAGGTCCTGAATGACTTTCTCGAAAGCGAGACGAGACTCAAAAGGTCTTCTACCGACAGAGAATAAAGATCGGAGGCTAAATCCAGAACTTTCCTGTAAAATATACTGCTAAGGAAGTTACAGTGCCCATGAATATTGCGCTCGGTCATGGCATGGCTACCGGTAGCACTTTAGTCGTCGCAGGGCGGAAGAAAGGTGGGAATTCGATCAAACATCATCAAATCCACTACGGTGGAAGTAGAAACTACCGAAAAGAGGCTTGCATTCCAATCTGCTGCTCCTGGTGTAGCTCGTGTCATCTGCCTGAGGGGCGACGACATGATTTTACATCGCTTTACGAGACGTAAAGGAATCATGTACGATCTTTGTTTTATAATTGTTTATTATCTTTTACGACCTTTGCATCTTTCCCGTCCATTTTTCTTCCAGCAAGTGGGACATCAGGATTATGGCTCATTTACAATTCTGGCCCCGAAAAGCGAAGTGGGGGTGCACTGCCCGAGAGCGAGCAGCATCAACGTTGCAGAGTCATAACCACAACAGCGTAAAAGTCAAAACGTGCAAATGAAACATATTCCATTATTATTTTCTTAACTAACTTGTGCTCCCATTGGCCCTGACCGAACTGGAAAGAACGTACATCAACGCAGAAGGAATGGTAAAAGGGCTCCCCTGGACCATCGCCTCGCCTGTGAGATGGCACGAGCCGGTCATATCCCGCTTCGAATCCCCTCCGAGATCCACAGGCACCCGTCCTCGACGAAGTCGTCGAACGCGCTGCAGAACACGGTAGCGGCAACCCGAGGATGGCTCGTTGCAGGCTCCCGACTACGATTTTTACCTATCGATGGTGGGCCCTCGGGCTGTCATCCAATCGGCCCGAGAGATCCAGTCGTCCATACGTCGATCGGCAAAGCGGGTTAATGGTTGTCGTCGGTTTGCGCCGGTCCGGCGGGCGGGCGCCCGGGCGGGCTGGTGAATCGAGTTCACGTCTTGCTGTCGGTCGACGGACTGGACCCGCTCGTTGGAAGCGAGGGGATGGGGCAATCTTACTTTCCTCTACGAAGCTTTCCCAGCGACAAGAGCGGCGAGGAAGAAAGGCGATTATGAAGATCAGACATCCATTAAAGAAAGGGTGGGCTCCACACGAGTCGCGAGTTTCCCTTCTGCGACGAGTCGTGAAAATAACCGAATACAACCTGGCCGCAATTGGTAGATTTTCGATGCTCGTTACGCCGACGGGGAGCGACAAGTATGCCTGCGCAGGATTATCGTTAAAAGCGTCGGTGTCACGTCACCATGTGCTCGAAGGAATGAAGAAGAAGAAGAAGAAGAAGCCGAAAGAAGGAAAATCCCAAGGGTTGTTTCCTCTAAGCTTCCTGGACCTGGTGAGCGATGTGGCACCGGTCGAGTCGACAAAGAATGCCAAATAGCCGGACTGTGACCCGGATCGGCTGGAGAAACACTCAAATGTGGCCGCCCTTGTCATGTCCCGCAACCACTATGGGCTACGGAGAGCATCTTTTGGAAGAACGAGAGAATTGGCGCTTCGAAGGCGAGAGAGCGCGCGAGCGAGCTAGCTCCGTTGCATCTCTCGGACTCTAAATCAGAGAGAGCACGAGATGCACGCCTCCGCAAAGACAATATCATACTCGTCGCTCCCGATGATGCCCCAGCTATGACATGACCTCATCGCGCTCGCTCAACTCCTCAAGAAGCACCGGCGAGGAGACCATCCTTTTAGCTGTATTACAGGGGGCCACCTTTTTTTTCTGGAGGCGGGCGCCGAAGCCTTATCATTTGCTTTGCTTTCCTTTTATTTTTCCCCGGGGGGCCTTCCCTTTCCCGGAAAAGCAATGAAAGAAAGAAAGAAAAGAGATATGATTTACCAGCGAAAGAGGTCTTTTTGGCCAGAAAAGGTCGACGCGTCGGCCCCATGATTCATGCGATAAGCAGCGCATCGACGTGCTGCGGGACCGGCTCGTCGGGGAAAACAGGGTCGGGGCTGCAGCTTCGGGGATAGAAGATACCAGAAGTTCCCAGCCCGGCCCGCCCGTTCGGCGGCGGCCGGCCTGGGAAGGGAGACCTTGGAGCGCGGCAGCCTCGACCCTGACGGTGACCCCCGGTCCACATCATCCGAGCGGAGGAGCCAGCTCAAATGATGATGAGGAGTTTCACCTGGCGAGGAGTCGAGAACGGTGGCCACGTTGGATCGGGAAAGGAAGAATATACGGAACTGTATTTTCACGTGAACTAATACGGGCATGCGTACGTGGCGCCCGAAGAGGAAAAGATTTTCATGCCTCGGTGCTGAGCCACACGTTATGAGTGGCTCTCGTTCGCTCCCACGTGAGCACTCGCGACGCTTTTGAGTTCGAGCAATTCTTGTAACTAGTGGATGGCCTGGCCCTAAAGCAAAGCGGAGCAAAAGCTCTCAAGTGGAACCCTCCGCTGCTCGAAAGCGACCTGCTGCTTATCGCGAGCGTCTCCATGTCCGCCAGCCGGTCGTCGACCGGCTGCCGGAGCGCCCAGGAGCGGTTTAGGGCTCGCTTTTCGCCCCTGCTCCTTGCAGAGCATGGCGGTTTTTTATTCGCACAGCTTTTGCCGATCTTACCCACACCTCACACACCGGCCTCCCTCGTCCTCGGCCATCGAGCAGCCACGGGCCCGGGCCGGGACGCCGACCGGCGCGAACTCCAGGCGGGCCAGGTCGCCCCGTAGGCCATGTCGGGGAAGACGGGCGGAAGCAGGGTCGAGGCCGACCAGCCGGTGCCGCCACCGGCGAGCGACCGGTTCGCGCGAAAACCCCCCAGGCCCAGCAGTGCAGAGGAGCCACCGCATTTCCTTACACAGCCAGCGCTGGTTCTCACCTCCTCACAACTCTCCCCGTGTTCGCCCTCTCGGCCGTCGTCGTCTCTTCTCCACCTCTCCTTTCCCCGGTCCCCCGCGCGGTCCTTGATCGATCGATCGATCCATCGCGCGCCCGCCTGCCTTCCCTCTCTCCTCCCTTTCCTCCCTTCCTTGATGAGAGTGAAGCTCTTCGTCTCGTGTGCCTCTCGTCTCCGCTGCCTGCTTGTCGGACTGGCTGGCGTGCTTGGCTGGGCTGGCCTGGTGTCTGCGGCCGACCATCAACGACGACGTCTCGACATGAGGCTCTCTTGAAGCGCCGAGAGCTGGTTTCGCTGTGAGCTTGTGGCTGTGTGTGCGTGTGTGTGAGCGAGCGAGTGTGTGATTGACTCTTGTGCGTGGCAGCGCTCTCTGTCGACAGGTCGAGGCCGAGCGCAGTTCGCTTCTACTATTCACCTCTTGTGCTCTTTCACGGGCGGAGGAGCGAGCGAAGTTGCGAGCGTGACGGGCGAAGAAGAAGCGCTAGGAAGCAGGGACAGACTTTGCCATCAACGAGTGCTGTGTGTGCGATAGGAAGGGAAGGGCCGATTTCGGTAGGTAATGTGCTTGGCGAGTAAGCTGGATCTGGTGGATTGGAGGAGGCGCCCGCTGGTAGACGATAGGTAATTGACAGACAGACAGACAGACAGGTTGCAATCTTGACAGGTCCGTTGCTGTGGAGAGTCCGTGGGAAGGTGCCGGTGGGTGGTGGTAATAAGGGGCGTGGAGGGCAAGGTGGTATGGAAGAAGTGTTCTGGTCAGGAAACAGGGTGAAGAGAAAGGACGATATATCAGCGATCTGTTGAAGAAGTTCTAGCTGTAGAAAAAGAAAGGCCGAGTTTAGGGAGCGCGATTCCCTGAGGAATAGTTTTCTGGGTAAAGATCTGCGACGGAGGCTGAAGGCTGGGTCAGGACGTGGGACGGCACGAAATGGCATGTGCTTGAGGATATGGATTGCCGTCGAAGCTCAAGAATTTCAGTATGATGGATTCACCGATCAAGTTGTTCGGGAAAACAATTGCTAAAGCTGCCGCTTCCGCATTCACAACATCATCAGGTGAAGCAGACGACGCTGAAGCAGTCCCGACTACGAGCAGTGGGGGCTGGGTTGATTTGCCATCGTCGTCGCAGGTGTGTACTTCCCTTCCAGCTCTTTGAATGTATGCAAGCTGATCTTGCCTACCTGACGAGCATTCGAGCAGCCCTTCGTCGCTCGTCACAGATGCGTTTCCGTGTCTTTTGCATAGCCACTCCTCAGGAGGGCTCAGGCTCCGCGCCTGCGTGTTTCAATCGATGCCTGCGTGAGTGTTTTGTGCGCTTTATGAATTGGTTCAATCGCCGTATAGGATAGGATAGTGTAGGATGCGATATGCTTTCTTTCCATGGAGGGGTGGCTCGCCGAGCACGTCGGCAGCCGGTGGCGAAGTCGCTAGTCCGTCTCAATGTCGCCTGCGCCAGAGCAGAGCATCGCGGGCCGTCGGGACTGACGTGGGCGGGCGTGCAATTTCTGTCTGGGATGTGCAGGATGTGAAGGAAAATGGAGCGGAAAGCAGCAGACTGGGGGAGATCAATGGAGGCGGGGTGACGTTCACGAGGCAGGAGGTGAAACGAGGATCGTCGCCCGACCGGACGTCGTCGGCGTGCAACAGCGCGGAGGAGGAGAAGCTGTGCGCGTCGCCGCGAGGCGGAGGCGGGGCCACGGGGGGAGCAGGAGCAGAGCTGACGCCCTCGGCCTCGGGGGGCGAGGCGGGCGCGGGCGACGACGAGGGCAGCGAGGAGGAGGATGGATCGGGCATGAATGGGCGCAGTAAAAAGGATGGCGGCGACGATGGCGGCAAGGGAGGGGAGAAGATGCCCCGACGGCCCGAGAATGCTGTTGCGTGTCCTCGATGCCATAGTTTTGAGACGAAGTTTTGTTACTACAACAATTACAACGTCAATCAGCCCCGGCACTTCTGCAAGCACTGCCAGCGCTACTGGACCGCGGGCGGCACGCTGCGCAACGTGCCGGTGGGCGCCGGGCGGCGCAAGAACAAGCACGGCAGCACCATCGCGCCGCGCGGCCAGACGCCCGAGGTCGGCACCGTGCGCAGCGACGCGCCCGACATCGCCTCGCCGCTCATCGCGTCCAAGGGCGGCGTCGGGCCCGTGCCCGTGCAGGTAGCGGTCGTGCAGGCCGCGGGCAGCAAGGGCGGGATTGTGCGCATGGCCGTGCCTGCGGCCAGCGGCGACCCCTCGGTTCTGCCGTTTCTGCGAATGCAGCCCTCGCCGATGGACACCGCCTCCATCTTCATGGCCTCGTCCGATGCCGGCACCTCGAGCGACACGGTCACCGTGGCCTGCAAGCGCGGCCGGCTGGCCACTCCCGGGTTCAGCGACGCATCCACAGGTGCCAACGACATGGAGCAGCAGCAGCAGCAGCAGCAGCAGCCGTCTTGGGGGCAGCAGTCGTCGACGAATGATGAATCCGCCTGCTCGCCCCTCACGTCGGCGAATGGCAATGTTGTGGTGCATGAGATTAAGGGCGAACCCGGGTCAGCGTGTCAGATGATGGGTGTGGCAGCGGTATCAGGAGTGGGGGGGCCCGAGCAGCAGCAGCAGCAGCAGCAGCAACAACAGCAACAGCAGCAGCAGCAGCAGCAGCATCCTGCGACGAACAACGGCATGGCCGGTCCAGGGGGTTGTTGGTCTGCTGCCGGTCCGCAATCGAGCGTACCTCCGCCCGGGGCCGCGGGAGCCCCTTACGGATTCTATAACGGAGGATGGCCGTATGGGTACAACGTGGGCTGGAGCGGGCCTCCTGCATTCTGCGCCGGGGGAGTTGCCACTGCGGGCACGGGCATGCCGGGCCCTCCCCCGCCGGGCAACATCGCTGCGTGGAATGGAGCCGGGGGCAGCGTCTGGACCGGGGTTCCTTGGCCCATGCCGGGCCTGGCTTGGGGCCCCCCCTGGGCTATGGCGCCGTGGGCCATGAGTGCGGGTCACGGTGGGGCTAGCATGGGGAGCATTACGCAGACGATTTCGATGAGCTCCGGTGCTGCTGCTGGCATGGTCACTGTGCCGGTGCCGTGCAGTACGACTGCCAGTGGTGGTGGTCCTGCGTCCGCTGCGCCCCCGTCATCGCCCTCATCATCACTGGGCAAGCATTCGCGCGGGGGGCCGCCGGTGGGGGCCCCTGCATCGTCTGCCGCAGCAGCTGCTGCTTGCAATGGCGCAGGAGGAGCAGGTGGGGGAGGAGGAGGCGGCGGAGGAGGCCGCATGGAGGGAGGCCTGTGGGCGCCCAAATCGCTGCGAATGGCTGATCCTGAGGAGGCAATGCGAAGTTCGGTTTGGAGGATACTGGGAGTCGGTTCCCGAGCCGACATGACGACGGCCAGCACATTTAAAGCGTTCCAGCCTAGAAACGAGAGTAAGAAGATTTCCGATGATGATCAACAAGCAGTGCAAGCGTCGTTGCATGCGAACCCTGCAGCGATGTCTCGTTCCATGAATTTCCACGAGAGTAACTAGTACGGTCGCAAATTGAAACAGCAGATCATGAGCCAGCCACACAATTTTATAAGTTCCGATGAAAGAAACCAGCTTAGTAGAACGTAATTCATTCAGTGCAGGTTTAAGACCCAGATCCCAGTATTCTGGGTTCGAGGAGCATGCTTATCTGATTGCGCTTCCGGGATTGTAGATTCTCCGTGCTTGTGTGAATAGACCAGTTTTGACTCCCTTGGGTTTCTGCCCAAGTTGTGGGGGCATTATATTCACAAGAAATATTTGACAATGTACCATAATGTTCAGAAACTTCACTTTAGCTGATAGTTTTACAGTTTACTGATATGTCAGCTCCTCATGAGTAATGATATTCGTGTTGAAATATCTGAGAGGATTAATGTCTGCTTAACTCTTACTCGTATTCTCTTGGATGATGGGTTCATCTTTGTCATACTCATCAGAGTTTTCTCCTGGCTGGAGATCTCTAGTCGAATATCTGAGAGCTTTTAAGCCTCTCACCTTTCAATTTATTTTACTTTCGTTTCGTTTCCTTCAGCTGTCGATGTCTGGCCCAGTCTGTGCTTATGTAAACCTACTGCCTTCACGCATGTCTCACCTTTATTCTGCTATTGTTATATATGTCAATTGGCTTCCGCCCTTGCATCCAGCGTGTGCTTTCCCGCCACGATTGTGTCACCAAGATTTGTTGTCAGGATCGGAGCACGCCAAACTTACGTGGTGTGCAAAAGGCTCCGATTTGAAGGCACATACATGCCATGTTTGAAGATTGGCACCGTATCTCTCGTTTTGCAAATCTCCCCTTCGACTTTGGCGCTCCCGGTCCTTCGTGTAACCTCTAGTATATCCCCTGTTTGATTGCTTGTCCCGTTCAATACAGCCGACGAAGCCCCAATCTCTAACATCAGCATCCCGACGGAGAGGCGATGACGATAATCTCTTACGTGGCCAAGTCCCAAGTCTGGAACCGGGCCACATCTGAGTAATGGAGCTGTCGGAAGAGACGGGCGGACATGTAGACTCCGTAGAGATCGGTGAGATAGTTGAGGAGATTGGAGAGACACTGGAAGTGTGGGACTGTGGATTTATTTGGGGAACTGATTAGCCATGGCCACTTTAGGCTGACGGCTGGCACGTTTCTCTTAGAAAACACATGCCCTGCATCCCTATCTTGCTACTCCGCCACGCTTCCCCTCAGTTGGCAGGTTAGGGCGTCGTCTATGTGTGTAAGTAATTTACTCTATAGTAATTTCCGTGAAACTCATGCAGTAATGGTAGATCTGCGAGTTTAACTATTTCCAAGTTCCCCAAAACATCTATTCCAGTGCAACGATGTCAGTAAATAAGAAAACATGTAACATCAGACACGGTACGAAAAAGATCTACTATCCAATCCCTATGATTGCAAAACGGGATTGGAAGATATTGGCATAGAGTTCTAGTTGCTCCAAGTCCGAATAAGATCTACAGTACTAACCAATCTCTATGACTGCAAACGGAATTGGAAGATATTGGCATAGTCGCTCCAAGTCCGAATAAGATGAAGTGAGATGCAAGACTTCAGAGCAAAAATTTTGACAGTAAGTTCATCTTGAGTTTCCCGGAAATCTTAATGCAGAACCGTGGAGCCGTGGACGAAGAACTTTAAAGCTGGAACCCAAACTTTCCTGTTAGCATCACCTGCTTGTACATATTCCAATGCCCATCGGTGCTGAGAGTAAAGTTACCAAATGAGCTACATGTGTAATATGAAGGACCGCAAGCACAACAAGTATTTTATACCGCATGTCTCCACCTTCTTATAATAACTTAGATGTCTCAGTCAACAACTGTACTCATGAGTTCACCAGGAAAGCCCAGTTCCTCTCGCTTATGTAGTGATACTCCAGTTACACCTCAATCTGACCAGCATGATTCTTCAACCAGTTGGAAAGCTGTTTGATTGGGCACGCCTCAGAACATACACTGATATGAAGACACCAACTATAGAAGAGATTGAGAAAGCTGAGTTTGTGTGACAGACTTTCTCCTCAAAGGACCTATCATGACACAAACATACAGACTTAGTCCCTGCACACAAATGATTCACGTAAGACACCTCCCCACACCTTATCTGGGCTAAGAAATAATAACAGAGTACCGGCAATGTCCACTTCAACTCGCATAACAATTAAATATCATACCACATCCGATGCTCCCCCTTCATATCTGATCACGACTATTAGTAGTTTTCTCGTCCTCAGGATCTCTTATGGATCTACTAACATCATTTGCTGTGATTATAGTAATGGTCAATAAGATCAAAAGAAAAATTGACACATTATTAACCGTAAAAACTTTTTCTAAAAACAAGGAAAAGTACAAAATCTATGTGTTTTGCATTATATTATGTCATCAAAACCACATGCTCATATTATTAGCGCTTATGAAGTGCCTAAAATTTGATATATGATGTATATATGGCAGCAGCCAACAACTTATGGATCTACTGCATGATATTTATATCTTATCAAAAGTACTCCACACGGACTAAGTATGATTGATAACAAGCTGAAAACCCTTTTGATGTCCTTTTGCTTCTCATACTCAGCCCATCACAATTAGAACGTCCTCCGCAGCACCCATGGTACTTTCATAATCTAAAATAATAGTCATAAAAATTTGATAACATTGCGGACGTATCAACTTCTTCTAAATTACCTCGCTTTATTCTCTCCATTTAAATTTAATCTGTTGTCATCTCAAACCCATAAGTTTGATTTTATAGTGGCAAGGAAATCAAAAGCTTTCAAGGAAGAAAAGGAAAAATCACTAAAGAAAACTTCATGAAATTTTCTCTCTAAGGTTCTAACCAAACTCTTATCTTAAATTTCTTTTGTACAAAATGTTTTTCGTTAGTAGGTGCTCACTTAACTATGCTAACTTGATCCTCAATGATCATAAAACGATAGACTAGAGAATTGAATAAACATGATGATAATTCTACATGTTAATAGTCAACACACAAAAAAACACACAACTTTGATTCAATTTGTGTAGGATAGCCTCTCTCAAATTGTGTTCGAAAGCTAGTACATTACAATGTTCCACCAATCATCTTTGATCTTATCTTTGAACATGAAATTTATGATGTTTGAATCATTTAATATTTTCCCTTGTCCTTGAATAAAGTATCAAAAAAGAACTATAGTGTTGAATGTGTATCTCAAATATACGTCTGGATATCAAGTGTCCAAGACTATAACTATCAACTCCTTTCACTCATTTATTAGTCTGAGTGCAATAAAAGCAAGTCCTGAACAACGTATCGGACACACATGTTCTTTCTTCACATTTGACTGAACTCCCAGGTCTAATCATCCAATCATCATCATGTTTCTTTAATTTTGTTTTAAAAGAAGTTGGTGCGTAAGAATTTAATTGACATGTTTTCAGTGTTTACTGTCACAGGATATAGTATGGTATAAAATTGTCATTTCTTTCAATGGCAACCAATTCATGTTCATGGGTATTAGCTTTTCCGATTGTCATTTTTATCTTTTTACATACATAATTTATTGATCTTTCCAACATGATCAATATGACTAGTATCCCCCGCAACATCTTCTATGAAACCTTAAGTATTTCTATTAGATACTTAGCAAATGACAAGTGACAAAATTCACATACTTTCATAAAATATGAGGTATGTAATTTGATGATCTTTATACTTTGAAAGTATTTGAAGACATGGTTTGTTGACTCTTTCATTTGTATGTGATGACCAATTTACCATCATTAATTGTTACAAGATCCTGACTCTTTTCCATCATCGGCCTTGATTCAATAGAAAGCCAAGTATATAGCCAAAACAACAAGAATCATTAAGCTGCACAATTCTTAAAAGAACGGGTGATCAAGGGATTTGCTCTTAAAATTTGGTTCAAATATACGTAATGTAACTTAGTCTTGAACTTGAACACGCATGGTATCAATAGCATATTCTCTATTTTATCTCATTTTTACAGCAACCTATGCAAAGTGATTATGAGGGGCTATTCATTGCCTTAAGGGATAAATTGAGCAACATGTTCTATTAAAAGACTCATATTCATATATTTTTTGCTACTGATTTAGAAGATTCCAATCTTTAATTATTAGAAAGTCGTTTGCAATTACTCGAACAAATTTGGAGTTGTGTGGATCATACTGACTACTGTCGAATTCCTTACTTGAACTCTCAAAAATCCAGCGACCGCCTCTATCAACCATGCACCCGGTATATATACACATTTTTTTGAAAAACTGAGATATTTATTCATTCATTTCTGTATGAGATCATGAATCTGTGAGAAATTAACATAAATGAAAAATCTATCAAAAGTTGAGATGGATCTCAACACGAAACCTATTTACAATGTGAACATGACTGTAAATTCTTGAAATCTCATAATAGGAGTTTAATCTTAACGAGATGTTATTCATGCTCATTATCCACTCTAAATATCAGCAAAGGTAAGACTACAGTCTTTGTGGTTTTCAAATGACATGATTCGGTGTGATTGCAAGTAAAACATGTGCATCGCTAAAATGTCGAACCATATAATTGGTGCACCATTATAAAGTGTATTTACTTTGCAGATTTGTGCCATACCTGATGTATAAAGTACTAAAGAGTACACGATACATCAGGTATGATGTATAAGAAATTTGTCTAAATAGTCTCATGAGGTGAAACAAATTACTGATTTATAAAAATAAAAAATAATATTATACAAATGGTAATATGTATACAAATTATATCGTAAATCTACTCTCACTCACTAATGAACAGACTTTAACAATTCATAACAGAATAAGATTTAACATCATGGCAAAACGTTAATCAGAAAGATCCATAACTCTAATTTCAAAACTTCAAGTATTATGTGTATATAGTCGTATTTAGGAAAAAAAAATCACAATGCTAAAATCAAATGCTAGTGCTAGAAAACTTCAAACTTAAAAAACACATTATGTTGGCAATTTTTTAAATCACTTGTGAAAAGCACCGCTTGGATTCCTCTCCTCTCCGTAAAGCAGGCTTTCATCCATTCGTCAGTCAGGCTAGGGTGTGAAGAGATCTACAACGTCTACACCTGGAGTGGATTGTACAATCAGGAAAGACAGCTAACCCAGGCGAGTGTTCTTGTCAGGAGGAGAAGCAACTTCCTGAGTACTGCCAGTGTCATCGACACGCATGACAAATTCAAGGCAATCTTTGCAATGACGTACGAATAAAAGAATATATCAACCGTGAATGTACGCATACAATGTTGGACTTTGAGGAACTGGAAAAACTACGCCTTACAGCCGGTAGATCAGGTTGTCAAAAATGGTAATGATGAAAGTCGCAAAATATGATTGTACGTAACAACGTAAGCTCGGGATGAAAGCAGAAATAAACATTAGATTCATAATCAAAGGTAATGGCCGTACTGTACTTTGATATCTCGTTAGGAGTGAGCTTTCACGTATACAGACACTCCCGATTGTTGTTCACTGTAGCTAGCCCCATCTTACTCCTTATTTGATACATGTTGGGCCTGATGGGCTCACCCGTCCTTTTAGCACCATATTTCTTGGTGCTGTTTATCCATTTTAATATGACGGCCTTTCAGGTTTTGACTTGACAGCACCGGCTTTGGACGTCAGTCAGTTTATAGTCTGGCGTGACTGGTTCAGCAACATCGCCGGTACGCACACATGATTGACTACGAAATCTGGTACTAAAACGCCCCCGACTAATCCAACCACACCACTCCACAACAGACCATCCCAGAATGTAGTCCTTGCAACCCACTGAGCGCATCCCCACTTTCCATGTACAGTACCAAACTCCAGTCCTGCAATGGTTATGATGTAACGGCTGCCGAGCCAAAGGGCGATGAGCAGTGGAGTGCGACTTTTGCTTTAAGCAAGGCATCCACGCACCAGTGCGCAGTGGCCAAACGTCCTTCCTGTACACCCAGACGCTGAGTTTCGGTAGGTAATAAAATGCACAGGCACAATCACAGCCATGTTCTGTGAGTCAGGCTTACCTTGACCTTGACTCCACGGCAGAACAAGCTAGCTGCCAAAAGGAATGTCCTTACGCCAGGAGGATAACACGCCACACCTATTGCCATCTTCTGGGTCCTGGTAACGTTGATCTGGTCGACGCCAAGGCCGTCTTTCGGACATTCGTCCCGCCTTGGGAGAGATTACACTGATGATCGCGGCGCACCTTTTCTTTCTATTCGTTCCTTTACTGTCATTTTCAGCATACTACTCGTCTGATGGCCAACACCTTCTCAAAGATGTCTGATCATATCCAAGACAACCGCCCACGAACGATTACATTCTATTAGTGTTGCTGAAAAGAGATACCGTTGTACGATTATTACTGGAAGTGTTTGTGACGCCAGTTCGGTTAGAACACAAGCGAATGTAGTAGACATATATGTGCACTTTTGTGTTATGTCTACAGGAGACATGACCAGACAGGACAAATTGTTGCAAAGTGATTGTCATTCACAGTAGAGAAAGAATAGAATAGTGATCAGGTAAAGATAGTCACTAGAGATTGTCACATACTGTCATACTCCTAATGATATCTTCTACCTACAACAATATGATTCAAGCCATTTCGGCGTCTTTGACAATCCATACGACTGCCTTGCAATAAGAATGAGATTAATTGGTGAGAATAGGGGTGATGATTTGAAGTAACTAATTGCATATCGCTGCTTGTTAAGTCTCTGCCAACTTTATCTACAAAATTGAATGCTCACCTACTGGAATTCCCTAAGTGCCACAACTTTACAGAATGAAGAAAAAAACGGTACTTCTTTTCCATTCCAGTGGACTGCGTGAATCTTCCTACCAATGGATACCACGAACTACAATGTGCTCCCACTCTCCTGACAGATCGCTGACTTCAGAAGGAAAGACCGATCTCTTTATGTACAATCATGTGCGCATGAAATGAATGAAGTTGATGACAAAGTGAATGAACATATGTAATCTGGATGGCCGCTCTGGATGGTCTGAGAAATGTCATTGTCCAGCCGCAACTCTTGAAGACAAATAACCGATTATGCTTTGCTGTTTGGTGTTGCCTGTTCCGGATTGATTTTGTTTCTTGGATGTGGACGGTGTGGATGACGGCTTCGGGGGAATCTCATTCTCCTGAAAAACATAGTCAAATTAAAAGTGCATAAGGCGCAGAGCAAACTGTATCCATTATATAGAACAGCTTAAGGAAATTTTCAGATAGAATCACATGTAAGGCTGTTTGCACAGGTTCCTGGTGCCAAGGTATCAGCCTTTCTTAAACAATGAACTTTTATACCTTCCCGACAACTTGTAATGGTCTCCCGGCGTCTGTTTCCTGTGCATCCTGCCCAACAGTCGAATTCATGGCAGGAGGGGCAGAAGGAGACACCTCATCAACAGCTTGTATCGCTACACGGCCACCAGTCGAACTTACTTCAGGACGGACAGCAGGAGACACCTTCACGTCAGCTCCCACCGCTACACGGGCACGTGTTTCTGCATTTCCACTGGAGGCGTTCTGCCACGATGAGCTCATTGGAGTCATTTCTTCACTTGAGTTGCAAAGTGACTTTGCAGCATATCTTTCTCATATCAAATAGAATTCAGGGAAAAACAGGATTTCACCTGCACCTAGGTTGCTCGCAAGCTATGAACTTTAATATTTTGGAGCATCAAAATCTACACCTCCACTTAATCTTGCCTACTCCTTGTGTATCCAACTAGATCGACTACTTAAGTTAGCCTGAGGTGTCGACCAACGTTAATCCTACAGATGTCGATTGAGAAGGCACAATCGCTCTTGAGACGCCCTACGTCACATTGGCTCAAGAATTCCTTTCTTCAAATATTGATTAGCTCAAGAGTTCCTTTTTCACATATTAATACAAATTGTATGTAGTCTACAGTCTTGCAGCATCTTCACGACTATCTCTCAGCTTTCTGCGCTATTAAACCCTTCAGATGCATGTGTTCTTCTGCGAGTGTCGTGATGTTATCAATCTGAATTAGGATACTCAATGAATTAAAAGAACTTGCCTGTACTCAAGGTACAAGCTTGAGAGTTGATCAACTTTCCGCTTCTGGAAATTACATTCAGATTCAAGACGATTTCGGACGAGCCACTGTTATCAACATTATGAAAATACAAACTCTTTTCTCCATAACTTACGCTTCGACTGTACACGTTACACTTATAAATATTTGCTTATTTGCCGAATTTTGCAATGCAAACAGCTTGCAGTAAAAACTACAAGGAAGAAAAGTAATACACGTTTCTCCTTTGTTTGATTTACTTACCTACTGACCATACCTATGATAATAAAACAATAATTATAACAGATTGGGAAGGAAAGGAGATCAAATGATCAAAGGCGAATGCGGAAGAATTTATGATAGTACAGAGGGTCTATCCTTCGCACAAACAGGTTGAGAACTTCCAGGTGTTCACTAAGAAAGCCAATAGAGCTTGTTGATCTACCTGAAGTTATTTTTGAAGCCAAGATTCTGTTAATTTTGAACACAGGAATTGAACTAGATGCAAAAGCTACGTCCCTTTCACAAACTGAATGGACTTTCAAAAACAAGTACTACCATAACCACCCACTGACTTGGAACTTACAAGAGCTATACTGCATCGTTCGAGTTCGAGATATAAAGGGTTCGATATACAGAGCACAAATTTTTAAGTTGTATATATTCAATTAAAGACCGACTCGCAATCACCTGACGCCACCCGTTCGCTTACTAGAAAATTACTACCGATGGAAAATAGAATACTGCATCCCGATTTACAAATATACAACCCTGAAACCAAGCTGCAAGAGTCCTAAACGGTCTAGTAACGGCATACTTTTGGCATAAAAAATTTGTGAAGTTTCATTCCATTGCGAATAGGAAATATCTAAAGGAATTATTCCTTGACAAAAAGTTGAGGATCGGCAACCGGTACGTTCAACGGATAAAGACTGGTAGGCAAGCCACTCTCTTCTAAGATGCCACTCAGTAGACAACAGAAAACTGTTCCGAAAAACAACAGATTCCGTTCATGCTCACGGGCCTCACCTTGTTGTATCTGTTGTCCGCTTCTTATCTGGCTTTTGACTACGCTGCTTATTCTCCCGCGAACTCAAGCCACTAGGTAGAAGTTGGATTAGCTTCTTCAACCTTGCAGCCAGTACAATATCTGGTGGCCATTCACCACCTTGACCTCCATCATCTAGATTCGGATCACACTGGAGCGTACTCATTCCATTCATCCCCATTATCACACCTTCCTGTGGAAGACGCCAAAGAGGCAGTTACAAAGAAACTAATCGTTAGAAGACAAACCTCAATCACAATTTTTCAGTTTTCGATGAGTGGTCTCCAGGCTCCATCCGCCTTACATGTGCCATTCTTTCAAACGTTGTCTTTCACTCCCTCAATCATCTACATAATTAATTCTTCACTAAAGTGACCACACCCAACTCAAGAAAAACGAATATCCGCACAAAAAAGATAGAAACAAATGACAAAGAGCTTCACCTTGGATGCAATGAATTGTTCGTAAGTTTGTTGGGTAGGAGTCATTCTCTTTGCGAAGCAAAATTGAGGATCCATTCTGACAAAACATAGAAAAATTTGAACAAATTATTCGCTCCAATGAGTCCAACAATATAGGAAATTATGAAGTTAGACTGAAACTATCATTTGTGGTATTGGCGAGCATGTCCGTCCTACTCACGGCATCCACGTTGACATAGAACTTTGAGATCGGTTTGAGTCAGGACGGAGAAGAGAATTTTTAAGTGAAAAGTTCGCGATTTTAAAATCCACAATACGACGTTCATATCACCTTATTATGTGGATGGCCTCAGACGGAAGTATGCATACCCTATTATCACTAGGAAAAGCCCGAATAATTGCAAAATGCCAAAGATCATACCTGACTTTCTTGTAATCTCGATGCCCATGCTTATGCACCCCAAGCATTAAGTCGAGATCTTCCTGAGGTCCCCACCAGAGGGGTATTTTTTTCGACCTAGATAAAGGTAATCAAATTAGATTGAGATGGACAAGCTACCACCGCTGTCTGTCTTCTACCGCAATATAGACTAGATTCCAGATAATCAAAGTAAATTAGGTTTCCACAATCTGCGCACCTAATTGGTACTTTTGGAGGCAGATAAGTCGAATCGTTCTTTTGAATAGCATTTGATAGAATCTCGCGTTCACGTAAAACTTGGACGTACCTGTCAGAGTTGAAAAGGTTAAACATCACAAAAAATAAGACCTATAATGTGTAGTAATGTACTCCTCCGATATTATCTTCATTTGCTAAACAAGGCGTATAAGAGTCATGGGCTTCAGAGTGAGTTATGAGAAACACCTGGAAGCATTTTTTGCAATCCGCTCGGTAAAATTCCGAGATTTTAACGCCTTTCGAGCAAACACAGGAGCAACAGGTCGTCTTGTATCACCGATCAAAATATATCCATCTTTTCGGTAATTAACCCCCGTCTCCAAGTCGTTCACTAGCAAACAGTCTAAAGGTAACATCTCCAGCTCCCCATCAGATTCAGCATCTTTTGTTCCAGTAATCTGTTCAGGAATTGTAGCCGCGTTTGTATCCTCAACTTTCGGTTGCTTCGCATCCTTTTCGAGTCCCTTCTGTGAAGGGCTTGGAGCCTGTAGGGCTTTGGTAGCGTCTATAAAGTAGCACAGCTGAATCAAGTGTTCCGACACTTGCTCAACTTGAGACGGATGTCGATGTTCGAGTTGTGCTTCCTGCCGTACTTGCACTGAAAGGAAAAAGAATAAAACAGTTTATTAAAGAACATACAGGGCGTTGCCGTTGGCAGCGGACTGAACTTACAGTCGACAGTGATAGTAAGGATAGACACACACTACATGTTACTTACTCGTTCGATCTTTCCCCAGAACCATCAGCCTATCTTCGAGACGCTTTAACTCTCGCTCGGACCAAGCCCCGACACCATCTCCTTCCTCAGACTCCACGGAGACGGACGATTCATCGCTCTGAGATTCTCTGAAACTGCCACCCGTGTCGGGAGTTTCGTCATCTGATGGCGCCTTAGGATCTTCCCGATAATCCACCCTCGTCCTAGCTCTTTTCCTTCGAGATCCAGATGGTGTCGTTTGAACTTTCTCTACAGGAACTTCGGAAGCTTTACAGGCTTCGGGTAACAAGTCTTTCCAAAATTCTTTGCTTCCTTTCTCCAGTTCGGGCTTGAGTTCCTCCGCGGGCTCTGGATCCCCTTCCGTATTCGTTAAAAATGTCGCGACAGAGAATGTATTCACACCACGTCTGAATTCAGTAAAAACGAAATATTCATCAGTGTTCAGTGGCTAGTAACAAGAAAGAATGTGATTTTGTAGCTTCTCACCTTCAGCTGACAGACCTTAAAGATCCAATAATCACAAAATCAAAGAAGCCAACTCTCAACTTACGAAAGACAACGGTGACTAGGGTGCTTACCCTCCGATAAGTCGTTCCTGCGTTCGATGTTCCAAAATCTCATGAATATTTTGAGCACTAAACTCTGCAGCAGCTGCATCCGAGTCATCCTACATAAAGGGGAGAACCGTTACGTTCAGGCAGACTCTGCGATTCGTATTGTTTGCCCATGAAATGTACAGGCAAAAAAATTAAACTGTCACAAGGGGATATAGACTACCTTCAAGATGTCATAAGCACCATGCTTGAGCAGGCTCTCGATATTCCTATTCATTTCGACGTCTACATCTGCGCCAACTCGATTCCCAAGTATAGCCTCATCTAAGCCATATTTGCGGGACGAGCATTCGAACAACTGTTGCTCGTACGTATTTCTCGTTATGAGGCGATAGATCCTAACATCTTTTGTCTGACCAATTCTGCGTAATCCAAAGTGTTGCTTTATATGAGAAAGTCTTCGTGAATATTGCATTTTTGAAATCAGAAACATTGTGAGGAATGAAGTTTCTCTTGGTGGTGATACGTGCACCCAAGACACAGGCATATGAACGAGAAAATGATAAAGAAGTGCCCTTACAGTAGTCTAACAATTTTGTAATAGCTGATTCTGTTTCTTTTGCATCATGATTTAACCACTTCCAGCAGCAATGAGACATAGACAGTATGCCTACGCCTAAAGAAACAATTAGGAAAGTGGTTCAAGACAAAACCTATGGCAACGCGCCATGGCCTGCAAGTCGTTTTGAGGATTCCAGTCTGAGTCGTAAATGATGCAGGTATCTGCCTGCCAAAGTAGGAAAATATATTAACAGCTGATATTCTCCACATAGGGCAAAAACTCCTTTATTGCATCGAGGACTAAATTTGATGACAGAAAACTCGTACACAAGAACTTACTGCAGTTAAGGTTATCCCTAGACCTCCCGCTCTCGTGCTCAGTAGAAACACGAAAATGTTACTTTCCTTCGCAGAATAGCGATCGATTGCTGCCTGCGAAACCCAAACCAGTAATCAGCCAATTGAACACTGCAGATTCGAATCCACGACGCCATGAAATTCCAACAGTCAATGAGACCCACCTGACGGTCAGACCCTCGAATATTCCCGTCTATCCTCTCATAAGTATAGGCCTTAGACAGAAGATAGTCCTCTAGAAGATCGAGCATCATCGTGAACTGCAAACAAATACGGAGTAAGTGGCCGCCAAAGATTTCAAGGAGCGCAGGGAACATGAGCACATTTCACATTGGACCGTTTGTAGTATGTATCCACTAAAACCACCGGGAAAACGCCTACGCGACACCTCCTCAGCATAAACTCTCCAAAGAAGGAAAAGACCTAATACAAATGTGTCAACATCCAATGAAAGATTGAAACTACAATTAAAAAGCCACCTTTTGCACTATAAGTGGCAGATCATACCTGCGAAAATATTAGCACACGCCGGCCCATGCCCTTCAACATTGGCAAAAGTTTATCCACGAGGATCATCTTCCCTGAAGCTTCTTGCAAGGGATTCTGAGTGGAAATGACGTTCTTCCCATCCTGCCACAAACTCTAGTCAGTCTTCTCTCGAACACTTCTTACACAGCAAAAGCCCTTCCACAGCAACTTGACATGGGTTAAGAAAATGCCTGGTCCATCCAACGCACAACTGGACATCAATGCTTTTTCCTCTCGCCTCGCCCCAACTTCAATCCGGCGACCGAGGAAGCTTTAAGCCTACTTGTATTTTTGGACAATCGGCTTGAAAAATCTTCTCGGAAATAGAATAGTATATTCATTTTCAAGACGAGTTTCAGCCGTCTCAACAGGAAGCCTTAGAACCATCGACGCATATAGGAACATACACTAACCTTGACAGACATCCTCCTAGATGCACCATGCTTGGATGCATAGTCTTCCTCAAAGCCGTCACATAAGAAGGGATGGTTACAGACTTTCCGCAGCTCCATTGCCTGTGTACCCAATACTTGTTGTGAGGGGAAAAGAAGCATTTCTCATTACCAAAGACATGTACTGAAGAATACGACTCTGGAATTTAAAAGTAACGCCTCCGAGTTAAAAGTTAGATGCAAAAAGAGCCTATGTAGTAAGACACCAGAAAACAAACGGAATCACACTTCAAATCGAGGTGAGGGAATCCAGTGGTGTCACCCATCCTCCAGGGTGTCAGTAAGGAAGAGCCGATAATTACAGAATATATCCCAACTCAGAAAGCCCAAATATGAGAAACTGTGAAGGGCTTCTTCTCAGATGATGATCTTGTAAAATATCTCCGAGACAATCTCATTGTCAAAAATCCTATTGAAAAGGCAGGATGCGAACAATACCACATTTCGAAGACTTGACACATTGCTGCTTGTAGAACCTTTTAACAATGTCCCAACATTGTTCTCATACACAGCACGATAATAAATTCGTTGCTCGCGTGTCAACTCTACCCACACAATCGTCTGCACCGCCAGACCAAGTTCAGAAACAAAGCACTGGAAGGTATAGTAACGACAAGCCCCTTTCCTGAAATCGACATGCATACCACGGCCATCTTACCTCTTTCTTTTGAGGAATGCTTTTCTCCACATCTTCTTTCATGCGTCGTAGGAGTCGTGGTCTCAAAACGCTCTCTTGCAGTTCTTTAACCTTAAGAAAGTAAAACCGAGTCATGTACGGAAGGTTTTGGTACATAATTGGCAATCATCAAGTAGAAAAGGTTTAATCGTGTCAGATGTCGAGAGGGAAACCCCACAAAAGGCAATCTTAACACGATGCCCACCGCAGTTAAGTGTGGGAACGACCTCGATGACAATGCAACACTCCAATAGATGACGTCAAGTCCAGGACTCAGCTCTTGTAGAGAAAAAGAAGTCAGTGAAATCTGGCTCTCATAGAGCTTCGAAATGCTTCATATAGGACAAGCTTCAACCAAAAATAGGACAAAAAATCCCTCGCACTACTTATTCACGGCGTTTGAGTTTCAGGTGATAAACATTCTAAACGAACCTGTTCCGCATTCCTCAGATCGCCATACTTCTCAAGAAATTCGTCCTCGGAGGCGAACCTCTCGGAATCAAGCAGGTTCAAAAGGCTACTGTTGTTTGAAATCGGGATCACAAGCACAATAAAACGGGAAACGATCTCAGATTATGAGTTGAAATTTTTGCCGGAATCACTGAAAGGAATAAGGCCACCATGACAATTCTTTGCACCCTGCCTTTCTAAGACGACCAAGGGAAGTAGGTTGCCTTTTCATTTAAATTCAACCGTAGATGTATGCATAAATCAGCAAGTAACCTTCAAGATAAAAGCATTACACAACCATTAGGAACCATAGCGGCAGATGATTCTTACAAGATCTCCTTCGTGTTATTTTGAACAGGAGTACCCGTGAGAAGGACAAGACCTCCCTTGCGAACATTCATCTGCCGTAAGGCGATGGTCGTCTTCGAACCTCTGGACTTGAGCCTGTAATCATATGCAAAAATTGTGAGCGTAATGCATCAAGGAAGAGTTGCCTACAGAAGGAAATGAAATGCCCGTGGGCGCCGTGTCATGGAAGTGAATAGAAGGAGACATGGGGATTGCAGCATCATAGCAAAAGTCATACCTATGGGCCTCGTCCACAATAATGTACTGCCATTTTATCTTCCCAAGCTTCGCTTGATCTTTCATTAGCATCTCGAAGCTGGTGAGCAGAACCTGCACGTTCGATGCATTAAAACAAGTGCATCAGACGTACTGATGAACCAGCAGCCTCTGCTGAACTGCAAACCACGCACATGATGTGCTGTTAAGTACATTCGGCATACCTTACAGATTCATATCTCGCCGTATAGTATTCACTTGACATTAAGGAGTGGCATTGTCATCGTGGAGGGTAAAGCTGGAAAGCATGCATCAAAAGCACTAAGCTGAAAGGGAAACGCACACAAGGGCTGAAGGCTGCGCAACCTTAAGTGCGTAACCTTAATCCCTTGTGTGCAGTTACTAAGTCCAGTGACTGCTTCCACGATTGCAAAGTGGACAAAAAGCCTATAGCAAGAGAACGTAGGCTTCTTACAGCGAAATGACTTTGGCCTTAACACGCAACTTGCGGACTGTTTCGTTCCCCTATACATTAGTCTGCACTCGAAGCTTGTCCAAACTCTCAGCGTGACAAACATACTACGGGGACTTTTATCGGTGCCCTGAGGGTAGACTATGTATGTAGGAACCGTGATTCAAGCATGTACTTGACAATGAATAATGAGCAATGACCGCAATGCTAAAGTCCACGAAGGTGGAGTGAGTGTCTAAAAATTTACATTAAACTTCATCCTTGAGGACTTTCTGTCGCCCTCGTACTTGAACTCATACTCCCGTATGATGGCCCGATCGTCCTGAGTACCGGTGTAAACAACGCAATTCATATCCGTCAGACTCTCAATTTCTCTCTGCCAGTGCCCCAGGGTGGACACAGGGGCTATGACCAAGTATGGCCCATCGATGCTGTGCTTGAGGCGGAGAGTCTCCAACATAGCCACAGACTGCACAGGCAAGTCCAAAATTGTACCATCAAAACACAAGAAATTCTTAGAGATTGTCAGTGTGAAGAAGTGTCGCAGAGTTCTCGCCTCCTCCTGTTGGATTGAGCATCGAGACAACCATCAAGGTTTCGTATGGAGTGACACTATCAAGTACACTCTCCAACGAGCACTCATCAATAAAAATAAAAAAACAAGTGACTTTGACCTTACCTGAATGGTTTTCCCCAGACCCATTTCATCAGCCAAAATACAGTTCACAGCATTGGTAAACTTGTTGTCGAGCCAAGCCACGCCCTCTTCTTGGTAATCTCTCAAAGAACGACCGTCATTGAAGACTAGCTTCGAGGACGACGGAGCTGGCCTTATTTTCTTGTTCTTACTATTGACTGCGTAGAATCGCTTGATTGCATTCACATCATCAGTCAACTGATCATCTCGCTCCCAAGTGGCTTCTGAATAAGGTAGACCGCACCACTTAACTAGATATCTTTTGAAACGATTTGTCCTCTCGACACTTATGATGCGGTCCACCATGAGGTACTGAGGATTGAATGCAGGAAGGCTCTGGTGATCCCCTATGTGGCCGTCCGCTCTCTTCAGCAGGTCCAGCTTCTTAAGAAATCCGCGCAGCAACTGCGGGCAGTGTTTCAGCATCTGCTCTTCCATGACATTCACCACACTACGGTAACACTTCCCCAGTAGTTTAACACAGTAAACGGCTTCTCCAATGGATCTGTTTCGCACTGCAAGAACCTTTTCAACTTTGTCCGCCGAGCTAATCCTTCTGATGACGGGGAGATACTCGTCATCAATCCGGAGTCCAAAACTATCCACATCGTAGCTATGCTTGGAAGCTTTGAACGTGGCAGCTCCACTATCAGTCTCTTCCTGAAAATCTACATCCATGTCCGACGATCTCCGTGCCTTGACAGAGTTTCTTTTCTTTTCTTCCCATTCTTCAGGATTGTCTCCAGAGCGATTTCTCAGTTTCTTGTTTGAACGATCACCATCGCCCCCTTCATCGTCCTCATCCGAAGCAACAATGAACTTGTTTTTGAGCCTTCTGGTGTAGCATTTATAAACATCGTCAGGTCCGCCTTCTTTGACAGGAGACTCATCGGACGCGCCGGATGGAGTAGCACACTCCTCCGTGTCATCGTTGATGGGCTTCTTTATGTGGGCAAACTGGGCGAAATCAGGAGAGACATCGCCATCTTCCGGCTCAGATGTGCGACGTGGATTACCTGCAGAAGGCTTTCTACCGGGTCTCTTAGCTCTCTCCGCAGATCCACCAGATCCAATCTCTGAGACATCCTCGTCCTCGTCACTGGAGACATCCTTGTAATTTACAACTTCTGACCTCCTAGCTCGCATCTCTCGAGTACGAGGCTCTGAGTGCAACTTCCTCTTTCGTCGCCCGGGCTTGACAGTAACGAAGTCATCGTGGTCGCCCTCGCCCTCTACATTCTCATCGTCACTGCTGTGTTGAATAGTAGGCCGATCAAGGTTGTTATTGACATTACGCTTGGTGTAAACCAAAAGAGTATTCGTATGTGATTTGTCTTTGTCAGGATCCCTGCTGGTACTCCGCTTCCTTTTCCTATTGCTTAACCGTCTTCTTTGAGAGTTACGAGGTTCGTCACCACTGCTGTCCTGTGGTTCAGACATTTCTTCGTCAACATCGTCACTGGCTCCTTCGACTCCCGCGTCCTCAATGTCGTCGGAAACGGCCGAATTGCTACGCCGGGTGCGCTGAGTCGGAGGAGAGCCGGCTTCGGAGTAGTTCACATGACTACTCCTGCGTCGGAGCTGCATACTGTTCTTTGTCGTCTAATACAGAAGGATTTCACTTCAAGTTGATACAACTACGCCAGTCATGAACCGAGAGCGCGGAACGTCTAATTGCGATGCAGAGACATGGATGCTGCAACTCGAAAAGCTGTCCAGCTCGATAAAACCTCAACTACGAAGAGAGGGAGAGACAGAAAGGCCTAATCCTGGACCGTCGGCACTCCACCATGAACCCATGGACGACGCTGGAACAAAGTAAGCTAAGTCCACGCACATTTATCAAATGTCCAAGATCGTAAAAACCCGAGCCACTAAAAACCCTGCGGGGGATTTTGTTCAGGCTCCACCAACAATGCACGCGCATTCACCGCACCGAGCTAAGGCGGACACTATTTCACAGCTCTCCAACCCTGGTAGGAGATCACGGGAGATTCCGAAATCCACACCGAGCCACGGCTCTGCACCGCCCGGGCCACCGAACACCAAGCTCCACAACTCTACCACGACTCGGGACGGGGGCCAGGCTTCACACCGTTTCCCATTCGAAGTATTCCCAGCAAAAATGCGCAGACGCTTTGGCACAATCTTATTCTACAGTAATCCAATCGCCACCGAAGGCAGGCGCAGGGCTCCCGTCTCTGTTGTCCTGATCCTGCTGCTGCTGCTGCTTCAGTATCAATGCCCTGAGCAGCAGGAAGCGCACCATCTTCCTCCTCTCGCTCTCGCGCTCGCTCGCTCGCAGCCGCAGCCCTGCCCGTCCTTGCCTCGCCCCTCGGCCCCGCTCCCCCTCCCGTCGTCCCTCCGAGTCAATTACACCTGATGTTCCAAAACAGTAGTCAGTCTGTCATGTACCGCTACCGGAGAACGGAAGATGGTCAATGGGGCACGCAATTGCCTCGCCTCCTCTGATACTGTTCTGTGCAAATCCCCGAGATCCTTCGCTCTTGTCCCTAACCGAACATGCGTCTACTCCAGCACAGGCAGCAGTACGACCTCCACGTTTACGTCATCCCACTCCACCTCATCGCTCAGTCTGACTTAAAAGTGGCGGAAAAACTAAGCGGCAAGATTAAAAGCGCCAAGAGCGTGAATTGTTTCTCCCGCACAATTCACCCCAAAAGCGCGCGAGAGAGCGAGCGAATTCGCTCCCTCTTTCATTTTGAACTCTCGGCCGCTGCCGCTGCTGCTTCTCTCCGCTCCCTCCCTCGGACCTCCTCCTCCTCGAGCATTCCTTTCCGGCCCCTGAATGATGCCATGCCATGGCCTTCTCCCTGCATCCATTTCGCGTTCATGTACACGTTCCCTTCCAGTCCTGCCGCGACCGCCAGGAACGGCGGGGCACTTCCCGCAGATCCTCCCTCCTGGCAGATTGCCGCATCTGTGCCGTTCGATACTCCGAGCGAGCTGTGAGCGCTGCTGTTGCCTCCGGTACGTGCCCCGGTGCCGGGGGCCGACTTTACGTGGTTCCCTTCTCGAACTGCGGTAGCCGAGCTCGGCATAATGCGAGCTCTCCTGTCACCGAGACATAGTGCACAATGGGATTATCGGAGCGTGTACTTCCAGGACATGCTTACGACCGCATGCCATATTCTAGGTCTGACAACTACATTGTACAGGAAAGGGCCCAAGATTCCGTTCATCCTCGTATCGGACGGCACACCGCGCTCCGTCCGCGAAACCTACACCAGCACAGGTTAATTCGAGTAGCAGGTTGGCGGTACACGTGTCATCCCGGCAGTAGCTGCAGGCCTCTCACGTGGGCCAATTTGACTGTCCCCTGACTCGCATTTCTCATGAGACGCTCTGATGGGCTGGGTTACAGTGTACAAGAACGGTCGGAATCTGGGGTCAAAGTCCGTTACTGTCTTCTCCCCCTTCAACACCGACTAATTCCCTCGCATGTGATTTCTTCGGACTCGGTCTCGCATGCTGCTGCGTTCAGATGTTCGCCGGTCAGCATCGGACAGCTTGCACCTCCTTGGCATCGGTAACAACCTCCAATTTATTCTCCGCACGGCCGCAGAGTTGCCCCGCCCCAGTCCTCTCTGAGATGCGAGACCGGCCCAGACCCAACAGTACAGAACTCGAGTTCCCAGGAACCTAAGTTCTGGAAATTCAAGCCAAAGCCCACGGAAATTTGCTCGCGTGAACTCCGCATATCCGTGGGATCTCGCAGGCAACATTATTGTGGAATTCTTTGTCACGTGAATTTCGCGAGTTCCTAAGATTTTCAGGAGCACAGCGAATCGATGAACTCCCCTTCTGTTCTAACCTCTTCGTTCTTCTATCCCAGCTTCTCAACCGCATAAGAACAAGATCACTTGTTCCTTTGTCACGGGTGACGGGTACTGCAGATGGCTTCCTTCTTTCATTGGCCCGCCCTTCCCGTTTTCCTGCGCCGAGTTCCATCTCCGTCCTGGTACGGTTCAGAAGGTGCTGTGGAAGTCCAGCAAAGCAAGCACTTTCTTTGTTTTATGTCATGCACTTTGAGAGAGTACCTTGACTTCAATGTAAATGTCTTTAGGAGGGAAAATAAGTCGTGGTAGGTGATGATAAGGCACCACACATGACAGGGGAGCATTCATTTGTACTTATCTAATGATGAGATATTCCAGATTAGTGAACACTTCTTCTCCACCTCTGGGAATAATACTGGAGTGAAAAACAACACAAAGGTACACATGTATACTCACACCTTTCAGCTACTTTTAATTCTTTATGTCTAACAAATCGAGCTACTTCCAGACAGCCAAATCTACATTCATGCATCATACTATAGTACCGGTCATAAATGTTGCAAGTACGGTATTTTTGCAATGAGTGTTACTATATCTGAATTAACTCATGGTGTAACCCTCAATATTGTTGTATAATTTATATGATGGACTGAGTATAGAATATAAACTCTTTAGGGTTCTACGCACATAGATGCTTATATGAATTTCAAAAGCATAAACTGAGTAGATATGCATATTCTATGGAACTCTTACAAAATAGACAACAAGGGTTCAAAACTTGTTATCTACCAGGATAGATTACACATCTACCGGCATGTTACCCTAAATTACCCAAATTAGTTTAATTTAGATACCTTAGTTTAGACCGTGTATAAATGTCAGATTTATTAAGCATTGATGATATATTTCCTTCATTCAACTCTTAACATATATAGTTCTCAGTATCTCCATGGAAACTAAAGAGCATACTAGCGCATCAACAAGTAAGTTGTAATTGATGGAGTGCTATCATTTGTGGATTTGCAATTCCATGTCTCTTATCGAAGAGGTGAATTATTTGTGGTTTCTACTATTCAACTTTCTTCCTTGAAGAGCTAACCTTGAGTGTTAGTATGCAGCCGCTTATATAGAAAGAAAGTGTAAAAGAAACACAATACTTGGATATAATCAAACAAATTTAATTATCTGATGTTCTTCTAAAAAATATAGCACTATCTTTGTATAAAATCCCAGAGTACATATGTGTGCAAAGTCTCTTGAGTCTAATCAATTTTGATTTATGGAATGTGTGAGAAAATGATGAGATAAAATGATTACTTGTGCTTTGTGGACTCTGGTTCTATAAAGTAACAATAATTGGACGATGATATAAATCAGGCTGGGTTAAAATATGGTAATCAACAATACTAAAGAAAAGTTAATTCTTGGTATATTTCCAGCTTTATTTTGTTTGGTTCCTATAGTTCATTATTTATTGGTGACAAAAACAAAAAAAACTATTATCAATAGGCATTTTTTATCTTATGTATAGAGTCAAACTCCTTAGCTTGCATGATGATTTCTAATTAAAAAATAAACACAATCTTGCGATGCTCATTTTTTTCCTATACAAACACTAAGAAATTTGATTCAAATTATGATGTGTTTGAAAAACGGTGAAAAGTATCAGGCAAATGATCAAAGAAAAAAAGTATTCATTTCATGATGTCTCAATACTTTTCAAAAAAACAAATTGCTCTTTTCACGGAGATCAATTATAATGCCATATTGGTTTAACAAGATTTATTTGCTCCGAGATGATTTTATTAAGCACGTTTGAAAATTGATCACAATATTGATGCAGCAAAGATCCAAAAGATCTTTTGCAAAATTTAACAAATTGTGCAAGCAAGTCGGATGGAAATTTTTCTTTGATTGATCAATTTTGAAAATCTTGCAATGTGCAAATTTGAATAAAACTATTGATGAATCTAACAATCAGCTCATCGACTTTTACTTTCATAGCAAAAGCAACATTGATTAGAAAAGATTCAATGATGTTGTGGGTCAATAGTACTTGGTGATCCAAAAATCTTATAACCTACTCGGTAGATGTTGTCTGACTTTTCACAGTTAGTTTTATTGTACAGTCAGCAACTTCTTTCACACTAAGCAATCATTTTTCTTTTGTACTTTCTTTGAGATTTTTTATAAGTAAAAATAAAATTGCTTCTTGTTGTGTCATAATCAAATTTTGACTTTGAAGTGTCGCTATAGTGACATTCATGCAATCAAACAATCCATATACTACTACAACGACTTACCAATACCACTATGTTGTTCTGATTTATGTGAACGTCAAATTGGAAAAGAAAAGATGAAGCTAGTCGTAATGCCGGATCTGCCAATAAGTTCATGTGTTGGCTTGTAATCCAATGCGTGATAAGCTTGAAATATTTGATTCTATCCATCTCTCTGTTAACAGTCTCATGCATTCGCAATCTATTGGCAATCTTATTTACAATCTTCATAAACTCTACATCGAATAATGCATTCAAATGAAATTTTTGCCACAAGATCTATCTAGTGTAACATGCATCAAGTATTGTGCACAAAAAACAATACTTTATTTTCAAACTTTGTGATAATCTCATCAATTCTTCCAATTATTCTTCCATCATAAACAATATTAATCAATTCGTGACGTCAAGATGGACTCATTGAATACATTTCCAACCGTGTCACCGTGGGATTGAAGGTTTTTGCAACCATATGTTGCTCAAACATATGAATCAATTCAACATGAAGATAATGCAAAGTTTTTTTTAAATGAATGTGAACACAAATGACAAGATAAAAAAAAACAATGGATCGAAGAATATAATGCCAATGAAAAAGCTAGACTTTCATGCAATTTCAAGACTTCATGCATATCAACAAGATAAGTTGCGACAATAATGAGGAAAAAACTCAAAATCATGTCATGTGAAACATATTATATCTTGCCAACACCGGCTAATTGCTTGATGGAGACCAAAACTGCATCAGATTGACAAACCAATAATCCATGAAAAAAGTATGAGGTGACCAAGTAAAACTGCAAAACATTATTAATTGTGATCACATAGCCGTCATCATTTTCGAACTGAAATAAGAATAGAGTCATTGCTCATGGGACTTTAACAACGTTAGCTTGATAAAAAACAAATGATAATGATAAAAAAATCCATAATGATATTATGGATATTTTTTCACTTTATGACATAATTATGATATTTCATCTACCATTAAAATATGAATACAAATTATTGGCTAAAGGCCAATAATTTATCTTCTTTGAAAAATGTTTTTTTTGATTCAAAATTGAGGTCTTCATAGATTATTTACTAATCTTGATGTTGAGTTCTATAATGTATTTCATAGATTTTTGAATGGAAGGACTACTAAATTTCTAATCTATTTGTTTATTTACGCTCACGTTGCTATCCAAGAATTTATTTGTTTCCAAGATAAACTCAAAATTGGCAGCAAACAGATGATATTTGCTCGATTATAGGATAAAAATGTATAACCTTCAAATAATAGAATAATTTTATTTGTTTCCAAGATAAACGCAAAATTGGCATCAAACAAACAACATTTGATTGATTATAGGATAAAAATGTATAACCTTCAAATAATAGAATAATTCGTGAACCGTCTCAAATTTTGTTTGACTCATAATTGCTCTTGTAGTGACAATGATTTGATGTAACAGAGAGGCAAAGAGAAGAACTGAAGCTTTCAACAAAGCGGCGTACTTCGTGAGATTTTTGCTTGCTATATCAAAAGTCATGGTTAAT